GCAGTAAATATAAAGCATTTGCCGTTGATCAATCCCGTTTTGGGATGCGGCACGCATTCTACTTCCATTTGTACATTCGCAGTGGCATTTGAATGCGATGTGGCCTATACAATGACTTGCGGGGGCCAGCCGATGTTCAAGTCAGTGTTTTTATCCTCCCAGACAAGTCTGGTACCAATTAACCGACCCCGGAGGGATGGAAGGCTTGGTTGGCCCGGGCGACTCACGACCCAGGATTTGATCCCCGGACCGCTCGCGTGGTAGCGCGCCACTTGTCACTGCACCACTTCCGCCCTAGCCTGAGTTACCGCTTTGTAGTTATTCAGTCTATCTTACGTTGATTTTGGAGAAGCCCCAAGGTTTTCATTGACTACCAGTCACATAACATGTAATCGCTCCTATGCTTCTAACGTATTCCTAAACGCCTTCCATCCCCGCGTTGTCGCGGCCGCAGCGCTGGTACGTCCGTGGGACCGCCCCCCTCAACCGGTCGGATATGGACTGTATGTTAGAGCATTCCGCTGTCTCTTGGAATGTGATATTCTTTCTGAATGAACCAGATTATCACTCTCTGATAGGTATTCAGGCAGCTGATTGATAAAGAAGTCAAATTAAATCCAAATGGGTAACGTTTACAAGCCAAGGCCCGCGCAGAAATCGCCGCACAAACTGTCGCGCGCGACGCTGTTCGCCGCGTGAGCGGCGTGACTCCTTAGCTGACGACTGAATTGACCGTCTCACAGTTTGACCAAGTTCGATATCCATCGATCGCCCTCACCACTTTCGTAGCTTCCGTGATCCCCACAAAAGCTTTTCCAAACTTTCCAACCGTTTTGATGGGAGAAATTTTCGGTCTTTATAAGGAATTCCGAGGAATTTCTGTTAGGTCTTTACCCCACCTTGAGTTTGCGACCTTTTAAACTGTGCGCGTTTTTTCTGCGCACCAAGAGCTTGCAGTTTTCGAGCTTTACAGGCTGCACTCTAAGGTTTGCTTGCACAATTCTCCGCTTGATTTGATATTTCTGCTAATAAATTGTGCACGCTCCTTTCAGTTGCCTTTTCGAATTCTGGCAGTGTTCACAGTACTCTTTGCAATCCTCTAGTTCCGCACGTGAAGAAAACAATGAAGGTACTTTGATTTGGATTCAAACAATGGGCTGGATGTATGCTGTATGCACTCTTAAGAGCTGCAGATCTCATAAAAGTATCTGCCCACACAAGAGGCTGAAAATCCCTTTTGTTCAGAGTAGATCCATTTATCACGTAAAGACATCGTGACATTATAAAGCCGTAGAGTCATATGTAAGTGAATCTGTGATAGATTTAATGTTCCCGTCAGATTCCCAGTCATCGTTGCGAAACTGATGAGGAGTCTTGAAGATCCAATCTTGTTACCATATGCCACACTCATTAGGTTCTAATCTCTCTTCTTGGAGTGGATCATTACAAACTAAAGCGATTACATATACGCTTTGCAAATGCTTGAGCCAGTGTGTATATGAGCTTACTGTAAACGACATTGTTCTACTGCTCGACGACACAAGGTGGCATATGAAAGGAGGTCACGTAAACAGGAAGACAAGAACTTGGCTTCAGGTTCGGCCGCCTCTATAAGTACATACCTACCCCTCACACCATCCAACCAGAATTTGCGCCGCTGCGTACATTCTTCTTACAGTAAAATAGCAGCCACGGTAGCGAAAAGTTCGGGCGGAAAAACGTCTTTAACATAAAACGACTGCGCATAGCCCTTTCAAAAAGGAACCACACGATGTGCAGCGAGTAGTACTTCTTTATCTACGGTAAGCGATAGTAGAGCTAATTGAAGTCCTGCTAGCTCTGCCTAACTATTTTCTTGAATGCTACTAGGTCGCAAGGACACAAAGCTTCAAAATTTTTGAACTCACCTACCAATGTAGGAAACGCGTTTGGACGACTGTTTGATCCGACCTTGTTGAATTTCCGGAACTCGACTGCTTCCATTCCATGTAGGAGGAAGTTGACCGTTCTCGGCAGTCCCCTGAGAAAAGCAGCAGAAAATGTGAACCTCCTTCGAGTGCAGTACCCAATTTGTATATATTTCGATATCAAGAGGAACCAATAATCCCAAATAATCCAGGTTGAGGTTCCAACGCCTCTCCCTCCAGAAACTCAGAAAGGGAGTCTTCGAATCAAGAGTAAAAACAGCTTCCTTTTCCGAAATAAAGGACAAATGTGGGGCAAATAAGAAGTTATAAAACTCAAAAACCTTATCAACTGCGTCGACGCCACTGAGTCAATTACCATCAAAACGACATCAGGATTTCTCAGAGAACTGAGATTAGACTTCGCAGTCGATCTGAAAGTAATCTTTGCTGTTATTGCGCTGACGGTTTTTTCCTATTTTGTCATTTCCTCATTATGATGGTTATTTGGAACAGATCACCGACCGATATTAAAGCAGAGAATGCTGTCAATAGATCGCTGCAACAATCATTCAAAAGAGAAGTTCCTGGATTCTAACCCAAAAGATGTTCTTTGTTATCATTGTCGCAGCATGTCATTCTACAAGACTAATTCACATTTGAATGCCCTTATATCCATTAGCGAACTGCGAAGCTATGGCGACGAGAGCACTACTGACAAGCCATTTTGAGCAATATGAAGGAATCCTTACTTCTGCTCTGCTATCTGCATATGAATGTATCGTTTGGTGACATTGCCTGATTTGCATTCTGTTTCGACAAAATCACAATTGAACACAACATCCTTGACTGATGTCCATTTTGTCATAGTATATTGGTTGTCACCGGCGTATTCGATACAACTGTAAATAAAGGTATGACAAAATGCTGCTATCTCTGAGCTTCATTTGATTCTGGATCGTAGATTGAATGTTCTTGAAGCTCTTCCACTCTTACACTTTATTGGCAAGCTTTCGGCAATAATGCCATCATCAGACCAATCTTAAAATTACAATACTTGCGACTGATCAACTGTTCTTATACAATAAACACGATACATCGACATACCAGCGATAAGGGAGTACGGAGGGGACCTATGAGGGTCGGGAACGAGTGAAAAATGAGACATCATCCCCGAGGGAAGGACTTCATTGATTACGTAAGAAGTCTCAAAAGGTCATACCATAGGTGTTACTTGTAGCCTTCACGTATTCTTACTTGCGTATTGAGAAATGGCAAAAGCCATCCCTCCCTGGATCTTCTCTTGTGAAGGTGATGTTCATATCGTGGGTGTTCAGTCTTTCTAACGTTTCCACAAGATCATCTTCCGTTGTTCCAATAACAAAGACGTCATCAATATAACGCTTGTAGAACAAAATTCCACTTGTTAATGAAGACTTCTCTATGTGGTCCAGAAAGATGACTGCTAACACCGGTGCTATGCGATTACCCATGGCTAGGCCTCGTTTTTGCTTGTAAAACTTGTTGTTGAAGCAAAAAATGTTGCATTCTAGTGCCGCTTCAATGAGGTCCTTTATTTCGTTTGCGGAGAATCCCATCGTGGAAACGCGACCACGATTTTCTTCCAGAAGGGATAAAACAGCTCGCACTGCGTCCGCATTATTCACATTGGTGTATAAGGATACCACATCGAAGCTCGCGTAGAAGGCTTGTGTCGGCACTGGACATTGGTGAAGCGCCGACATTGACAATGTGCGCTCCCACATACCGCAACAGTGGCGAAAGTAGTTGAACTAGAAGCCAGCTCAACCTATCTGCCGGACCACCACATGATGCGATAATCGGTCTCGTTTTGATTTCGCTTAATGGGAGTGACATTGTGTCTGCCGTTGGTGGAATTTTGTGCGTCTTCACCAGGTTGTAGAGAGTCGGCACTGTAGGTACCATCCCATGCAGTCGTTTCGCCATTTCTAGCTCATACGATTCTTCACCGTCGTCATGATGACATTTTTCACTCTCTTGCATACAGTTTCGAACGCTGATAAAGTACTCTCCTCGTATACTGTCGTGTCTGAGAGAACTTGAGCGGTGAGAGCCTTATCCAACGATTGAGGCATTACAACAAAGGAACCACATTTGTCGCCCACTGTGATCCTCAACACACTCTTCCTTTGCAGTATTTTTCTCACTCCTCTTCGTTCAGTTGATGTTAAATTACTGCGATAAGGTTCACTCATAGCGTTCCGATAAATTCTTTGGATGTTATGCTCGAGATTGGCTATTTTTGACGTCGGATACAAAGAGGCATCTACTTTGGCCCGCCCGGGAACAACTTCGGTTGGTTGCGTTGCCCAGACTGACTTGCACCTCTACGGCCGTCAATCAGTGTTAAGTTTACCAACTAACTGTAGGTATTCACTGCCTACTTGAGCCCCTCACACACGGAAATGGTAGTCATTAGTTTTGTGCTGACCTTCTTGGGTCATCCTTTTTGTGTGTGGCAGGCCTGGGATGCTGGAAGCGCAATTCCTTTTTTGTCTTCCTTTTTCTTTAGCTGTTATACGATTTCAGCGATTGTTTTGTTTGTTTGCTTTTTTTTCTCGTCTAAACATACCTGTACCGAACTAACACCCTCTGCCCTGTTTTAGCGCACCAGTGAGTGCATAAATAAATAAATAAATAAATACTCGAGATTGCCTATTTTGCATTAATGTCACGTGTCGACGTTGGTATTTGTACAAAATTTGCCTTTGATTTATATATATATAATGGTAATAATAATATAATGGTAATAGAAATAAAAGGCTAAAATGCTAGATTCATGCTTCTACGTGAGCACTCGAAAAAAAAAGCCACATAATTACACCATATACTCGCTCTAAGATGCAGGTCGATTCAGGGGACGAATTCCTTGTTTCTGCAGTGTTGATTCATACCAGCTGTCTCCACTCAGGCGCATATCCATGCATGCTTGCGTGTGTGGTGCGCTCTGTGTGTGTGCGGTTGGTATCCTGCATGTCGGCACAGCCAAAAGCTTGCATTCAAGTGACTGGGAAGTACATGGGAGGCGATTCGGGGCCGCCTCCACATACAAAACCTTAGCCTCCTCTAAAAACAAAGCCGCCTTCAAAAACAAAGCCAGAACTTAACATCGGTATTCACGGAATAGACTGGAATGAGCAGAGTGAGAGACTGTCGGAGTTTATCATGTCGACCAACACCATCCATGGTAACTCGCAGTTCCAAAAGCCCTCCTCACCTTCGTTGGACTTGGGAGTCACCTGATGGACAGTTCCATAACGAGATAGACCACATCATCTTCAATCGAAGGTTTTGCCTGACCGACGTCGCTGTTGTTCCGAAGTTCTACAGGGGATCGCGGCAAGATTCCACTTCTCGATGCGTGTTGAGAGAGCAGCAAAGTTCAGGAAGCGAAGTCCCAGGACAGTCATCAACTGGGACTACTTTACTTCTTTCGTCAGCTCATGGGGTGATCCCGTTATCGAAAACATCGACGAGGAGTACCATCGACGAGGAGGCTTGCTGAACATCTTCATGACAGCGGTATGAAGAGAGAGAATTCGGAAGTCACGAAGGGAAGTCCGTCTCCGGAAACTCTTCATCTGATATGCAGCACAGCTACGAGTCGCACGAGCTGCAGGTAATCACCAACTCACGTCCGAGCTTGCGAAGCTATGCAGAGAGGCGATAAAGGAAGATCTCAAGGAGCGAAGAGCAGCTGTATTAGCTGAAGCAGCAGAGGCTGCGGAGGAGCGTCCGCAACGCCCGCAGAGGCTTCGTCAGCTAGGATACCAAATGATCTGTCTCCGACGTTCAGATGGAGCTATTATAGCATACCAGGGCAATGGAGAAAGCCGCTCACGACTTCTGCTCAGATCTCTTCGATGGCCATGTCCATCTGGCTACTTCTGGATTGGGAAGACATGGGAGTGAAGGTCGACGGCCGGCAACTACACCACCTTCGTTTTGCTGACGACATCGTTCTTATAACGCCGAACATCGAGCAAGCGGAGCGAATGCTGGCTGATTTCGACTGCGCCTGTGGTAAGGTTGGTCTACAGCTGAACCTAACGAAGACGATGTTTATGAGAAACGGATTGGTTTCCTGATGCCCCATTCACGCTCAACGGAACGAACATCACCGAATGCTCCAGCTACGTGTACCTAGGTCGGGAAATCAATATGATGAACGATCTAGCCAGAGCTGAGCAGGAGGAAACGAGCGGCTTGGGGAGCGTACAAGAACATCGAGGGAGTAGTGAAGAAGACGAAGAACATCCGGCTCCGTGCCCACCTCTTCGATTCCGCTGTCCTTCCTGCCCTAACCTACGCCTCAGAGACTTGGACTCTGCGCAGGCAGGACGAGCATGCTTTTCGTCCAAGTGTTACTGACAACTACTTCCAAAAAAAGAGACACTTTACTCCACATTTCAGACAGCAGTGGTCACACTTCGCTGATATCAAATCGACTGCCTCCAACTCAGTATTAAAGAGCACATTCTAATCTTCTAAAATTTACATGACAGCCTTCTACACCGACGACATCAGAAGATTTTCCCACGGAAACATGGTTCACGGTACGAGCTCAACGAGGTCGTCGAGGTACCATAGACCATTACGACGTCCCTGAAACGCTGGTCAAAAGCGGTTTTGCATAGTCACAGCTAATGTCTCTGGGAAGCTATTCAACAGTTAATTCATTGAAGAAATTATGTAAGCAGCTTCAGGCCGGAGCGATTACGGTAAGCCTCGTTGAGCTCGACGGTGGCGGCAGATGACGTCATATTCTGGAGACGGCGGGGGCAGTGAAGGAGGGCCTGCTTCTGTTTACGGAGGAACACCTAAGGAATATTCCGCCGTAAAACTTTCATTAACATCGGCTCCCTGTGCGACGAAAAGTTCGATGATGTGCGCCATGGCAAAGTGTCTCTTTTTTTTGGCCACCCCTGTACGTGCTAGAGTAGGACCGATTGAGACTTTCTCCTTTCATGTTCTTCTCTTTCGTGCACGTATTATACTGATATCAGACTCACTGCAACTTCCATCTCCTCCTTGTTGTTGCTCGGTGGCCTTTGTTGCCTTATTTCGCTGGCTTACCTTATCGTACTTCCGACTAGATCCACCACATCTCTGTGGAGAATTGAAACAGTCTTTCCTGCGAATGCCGGAGTGTGCGATATTTAGAGGATGGATTTTCCGGGTGGTTCTGTGACCACGTGAAACGCTTCGGTGTTCATCCATCCTGTTGCGTAATGACCTTGATGGTCCTCCGATGTGAAATTCGTTAAAAGCAAGGTGCATCACTTTACACACCAAGCATTTTTCTTGACGCACCTCATGTTCTCTACAAATTGAAGAGTTTCTCTTTCACATCACTCTCGTAAAAACGCGAAGACATTACGTCGTTAAGTGGGGGGGTGGACGAAAGATCATTATTATTGGAAGCCGTGATCGCTTTACGACGTGGTTAGCTTGGTTGCTTCGCGGACAAGTCGATAATAAAAAGTAACACTAGGAGTGGCACAAGGTGATTGCCAAGGCGAAGATGTTGTAGTCTACATCCGTTTTGCCGCAGAAATTCATCAACTTCTGTCTCAACTTCTTCGAGATTCGTAGAGGACGGCTTATATTATGTAGAAATCCTGTGATGAACCAAGTTCAACTTAATGTAGACAAGATGGCAAATTCTCGCGTATATCAAAATATTCTTAGATACGGTTCCTTGTACCACATCGTGCTGAACATCCGTAATCTTGATCTTAGTGACTAGAAATGGGAGGAAGCGATCCGGGGCAGGACGATCGGCTATTGATTTTATCGATAGGCAGTTTCTGTTCCACTTTCCAAATGTTTGTTGCAATGTTCTCCGAGATCTCCCAATGAGAATGTCGTCGATACACCGTCCGAAGCATAACACTCCAGACGATAAGTTGACATCTCAAGGCTGTCCATAAAAACGACTGCGAGGAGTGTAGCCAATCTGCTGCCAATAGCAAGTCTACGAGTCACAGCTCACAATAGATTTTCAGAATCAAAATATGTTCACATTCACCACGCTTCGTAGCAGCTTTTCAATGTTGTCGACAGTAAGAACAAAAAAAGCTGGAGGGAGATGGAGGTGCAAGCCTCTACAGCTCTTTGTGTGTCGACATTCATGTACAGTGCAACCACAACAAAACTTTCATATTTTGTTGTGGGGTTCATTGTGAAAGTTGCTAGCTCTTATTGATGTTGTGTTTTTTTAACGTGTGCCTTATGCAAACGTAATAAACTTAAACATAAACTAAAACTGTACCAGAAATTGGTCGACGTTTTTAAGGTGGTATGGAACATATGTAGGCAGGGAACAGAGAAAGTTTTGTAGTAACCAACTTATTTCGCCGCTACAGATGCGACCATTGGCTTTGTTCTCAAGAGTACTGTATACATCACCGCTTCGTTTCTCACCAACTTATAAGTCGGTACGCTTGCATGCTTCGGCACTAACGATCCAGTGCGCTTTTCTCAAGCTGCAGTTCGAGCATTCTTTTCACCACTCCCTCAAGTTGCTGACATTCCCGTTCACAGGGTTCACCAGAGGCGTTCCCGTTTACAGCATCACGTAGTCCAGAGAACTACCCGGAAAATCCATTCTCCTGACACCGGCATTCGCAGGGAGGACCGCCTGCGCTTCTGTTCATCTTCACTAAGCATATCCATGTCGCATTCGCCAAACTTCGAATAGCTTGTCAGTGAGGAGTTGGTTAAGTTGTGTTCTCTCTTGTGCCAAAAGCACATGATAAAGAGCTGGAACGATTATTTTGCAAGCTAATATTATTCTTCAGACTGTGATTTTTGCTAATAATAGTTCCCGTTATTGAAAATAGTTCTCGACAGATGAACAGGTCCAGCCTCTTCTGCAAAATAGTGATGCTTCTAAGACCGCTGAAAATTTGAGACTTTGGATTCAAGACGAAAGAATTCATTTATAGCGAAATGTTAACCAACCACGCTCGACAAGAATAGTTCTTCTGGTCTTTTTTCAACACCACCTTCCCTTTCTCGAGCTTTGTGACTGGTGACAAGCTTTTATTCGGAGTGCAGTCCTGAACGAAATATTTCGACAGTCAAGTGTTGTCCGTAACTACCGTCAGCGATATGGGTCCATCTAAGGCGAGTTTACCTTCAGGTATCCATATTTCACGTCCATGTAATCCAATATCGATTTGTCCCATGGATCAGGTGGTTCAAATGGGCAATAATCAAATATGTCAACTGTCCTCGTTCTGTTAGAACCCTTCTCATCAGTGGACATCTCTGAGTAACACTTGCGGAAGATAGCATAAACCAAGCAACGTTCCCTCATTTATGTAGAAGAAATTAAAGCCCTTTAAAACCCTACATCAGGTTGCTCTTTGCACCAGCTAAGTTGAAGGGGTCGAAGTTCATAATTCATACTTCTCTAGCCTTGTGAACCCATGCTATTGAAGCAAAGATATGGTGAAATATTTCCCTTCTTCACTATAGTGTTCAATAATCGGAATCCACTCTATACATCTGAGCCTTCCTGACCACTAAGAGGCTACTCGGCATCTATTTTGTCAAGAAAGACAAAAAAATGGTTGGTACCGATGGCCTTCCTATTCGAAGGGAAATAAGAACCTCTAGACTCAGAGAGAAAATCGATTAGATTGATAACCTACTGCACACATCCACTATAGCTTTATTCTGAGAAAGCTATTATAATTGACGCATTCCTTACAGTGAACCTCAGCTTATCGCAAGAAGATTTTTCTTCCCGGACTTTTTGGATTCAAGCCAGCCACCTCACGATGCGGGTACAATCATAAACCATGTCACTGAGACTGGTGTTGCAACAACCCTAGATATCACTTGACTTACAGTAACGAGTTACAGTTACATGTACAATCCTTTTGACCAAACATACATCTGAGCAACCTTCCCCTAAAAAAATGTCTCCCACCAGCTTCAGAAGATACTGTGTTGGTTTCATTACGTGTGTTGCATGGGTAAGTGAAAACAAGAAATTGAGGAAAATAAGCATTGCTTCCATGCCAGCTCCATATGTTCTACTTACCACTGGGTTCCTCTGCAACTAGAGCAGTTCTTTTTGTCGCCACTACGAGGCTGCCACTTTTTTGAGCAAACAATACATTGCCACTAAAATAATACAGAAGTCCAATGAATATTAGAATACCAAAACAAAGCCATGGAGCGCTCATCTGTAAGTGCAGTTTTCGATTTTCATATTGTGCAGGGTGCAAAAATTACGGTGCAATAGCGTGCCGCTCACGTTCCCAATTTCAAAACACAGGTATTTTTGATGTAAATTTTTAACATTAGTTTTAATATTCAGAATCTCTGTTTGATTTCGTCACATGAAATTGACAATTTTAGAATGCATAAAATTTCAATTCTTCCAGGAAACGATCACATCTTTGCTTCGACGAGCGGTTTGATTTTGTTACATTCCGAGACGAAAGGTCTCTATGAAACTTTCTTTCGCCTCCATCACGAAGTTCAATACTACAGCAACCGCCAACCACCTGTTCACGCCAGAAACAGTAGGCCTAAACCTAGAATGATTCTTTCTATGACCCTACGGAAATGATTATCGAAACTAATTGCTGAAAAACGCTGGCAACCGCAACTTGTCGCCTGTCGGTAATTGTTCGCTGGAAGATGTTATCGAAAACCTTCCTTACGATGTTGGCTCATGCGCTCCCTGAGAAGAAATTACAACAGTGCCCCACGTGCCTCTGATGATGGGAAGCAAACACTGGAAAAAAATGCCTAATAAGACCTCCTTCGTCTCAATTCCGTTAGGGCTTCATATTTTCCGTTCACCGCTTCACAACTCGCAACTTTGGTGTGTCGCTTTTTGTCAGTGTGTATGTCTGTATGTATTTCGTTCTGTCCGCCCGAACTATCCCAGAGAACCGGAGAGTCGAAGGGCTGCGCTTCGTGTTGATGTCATGATTATGATAGCAACTCACACTGCTATATAAAGACCGATTGAGCAAAGTCAGGCTCATTTTGCATAGTGTTGCCGTGGAAGCTAGGGGAGCGCAAAAGGGGGAGGTGAGGAAAGAGAAAGGGTAGGGGGAATGGGATGGGCAGGAGGGTATACGAAGAAAGGAATAGGACGGAGGGGAGTAATAGGGAGAGAGTGCCCGCTTCCAAGATCGAACCGGTGTTGAGGTATTATTGAAAGGTAATTGTGATAATACCCCAACGGCTATATCAACACCAATCTCGTGTGAAGATACTCTGCTGTCGGACCAGCGTTAAATGATAAGAACAACCAAACTTATGTTACTGTAAAGCCAGCTTCTCCCATTCAGGTTTTCGCAGAAGTACAAGAGCAGTCACGAAGCCTTGGACCCCTGTAGATAAAAAACTGAACAGTGAGAAATATTACGAACTCTTTTAGGATCACTCGATGCCTCAATCTAAGAGGCTGTTCAATACGCATGACAGAGGCATTAGAGCAGCGTTGATGAGTGTTTTTGAGACCATCGAACTAACCAAGGACTGATGCGTAGCTGTGATGTTGGTTTGGTTGGGGTTTGAATTGAAACAGTAGGGGTCAAAATGCTTTCAACTTCCACTACGGCATAGGTGAATGAATGTTGCCTTTCCATACCCGCTGCATGCTGTTTTGATCAAATTTCTACTAATACATCTCTGAATAACGTCTACGCATTGAACATTACTAAGATATTTCAAGATGATGAAACTTAGGATAAAAAGCTTTGGCACAAATCGAAACACATATTACAGAAGCCCAGAAACCTGGAATGGGGCTACTTTTTTGAACCTCGTCTCGGGCAGTTGAATTTCAAGGGGGAATCGAGGGAGATTTTTTCCCGGGCATAACCTAGTAGTATTATCATACGCTTTTCTTATAACCGGCATTCATTATTTTATCATCGTAAAGGGAAACTCTGTCGTCACGACAAAAACAACTGGCTCATAAGAAAAGGAACAGAAGCGCAATATGCCGCTGATCACGGAGACTCGAAGACTTTATATCGTATTGTCAGAGAATTGACAGGAAACTGGAATAATTCAAATGTACCGATCAGAGATAGAAACGGCAGGCTTCTTTCGAGCGGAGAAGAACAGAATGAAAGATGGCTCGAATACTTTCGAGATATACTCAATCAGCCCAATCCGCCGAGAACCTACTGCTTCGATGACACGGAACTAATCGAAGAGCTTGAGGTTAAAGGCACGCTCCGCGATCAGGCGGGCTCGCCTGTTCCATCCAGGGGGTAGTAGGCAGGTGGACAAGTGTTGATGTCGGGCCCCTTTTGCGGCTTGAAAAGTACGCGACAAAGGCGCAAGGAGCTCGTCCAACCCGCAACTCACACCTTCGTCCGCAAGCCCCACCCTTCGCTGTCGGTTGCCACGTGGCGCTGCTTGAAAAGCGCGGGCGCATTTGAGGCAGCGGTCCCAGCGCGATCCAATGTTATTGGCACTGGAGCAACTAGAGTTAGGTTCGTGAAACTCGTCCAACGCGCCTCTTCTCTATCCCAAGGTGGAATGTGGCTGAAATAGGGGAGGTCTCTGTACGGGGCGTAATCGGTGGTTTCGTTTGCTTTCCTTCTCTTTTACAGACCACCTCCCACCTATAGCTTCATAACTGAACGCTTTTCCACACCTATTTTATCCCGAATCTTGCCTTTAATACTGGATGCATATTGACAGAAGAAGTAGTTGCAGCAATTGAGTGCCTCCGGAATAGGAAGTCTCCTGGTCTAGACGAAATTACAGCAGAGTTGTTAAAGGCAGGAGGCAGTGCAATAGTAGAAAGACTCGTGAAACTATTTAATCATTGTTGGAGCCGAGGAGAAGTCCCGGAAGACTGGAGAAAAGGTGTCATTGTCAAACTGCCTAAAAAAGGAAATCTCTCGGATTGTGGAAATTGGAGGGGTATCACACTGTTGTCTGTACCCGGCAAAACCTTCTGTGTTGTTCTACTTCGCCGACTCCGTGCAGCCGTCGATGAGCGATTGAGAGAGGAACAAGCAGGATTCAGGAGTGGGAGGTCGTGCTGTGAACAAATCTTCACGCTACGCAACATTATCGAACAGTGTGTCGAGTACTGCCAGCCAATCGTCATCAACTTTATCGATTTTAAGAAGGCTTTCGATAGCATTCATCGGGAATCGTTATGGGCTATTCTGAGAACGTATGGT